AAGCAACTAGCACCAAGAGCATCAATACCATGACACGTGTCACCACCACAACGACTTGCACAAAGTCCCACATCGAAATTTTATGCAAACATCCCACTTTCACCTTCCTATAAATAAGGAATAATATCCATGTGAAAAGGGCACTTCCTCTCTCCACTTAGAAGAGGATCCGGGTCTCAGAGCTAGACCCTAGAGCCGGGGACTCTCTTCTAGATCCTTAGCTTGGGCATCTCACTTGTCATCTTTATATTCGGGTCCAACCCCATGTACAGATGTAATCATAGACTATTATAATGAGAACATACTTCTCCGTGGACGTAGCCCATTCATTAAGGGTGAACCACGTATATCTTGTCTTCTTTACATTTTTCGCTTGCCCAAGTCTTTACACGCATGCTTAAGGTCCTCACCTTCATCCATCATCCATCACACCTCATCACTAAGTTGGACTCAATCTTGGCCTAACCATTTTGAGCATCAACAGTTTGGCGCCGTCTATGGGAATCAATACAAAAGGCTTATGTCGTTCTCCCCTTCCTCAGTGCCCTTCGGCACCCATACAATCTTCATCATATAGCTTGTGCGATGCCTTAGGCACCCAGCCATCAACCGGCGATGCTGCTCATGCCTAGCCACAATGCCTTGTCCTAATGCGAGCTTTGTGTTGCCTCCGGCACCCTTCGTGCCCAGCCACATTGCCTTGCGACAAGCAAGATTTGTATCGCCTTCGGCACCATCGTGTCTAATCACATCGCCTTGCCATATGCGAGCTTTGTGTTGCCTCCGGCACCCTCGTGCCTGGCTATGTTGCCTTGCGACACGCAAGCTTTGTAACGCTTTCGGTACCATCGTGCCTAGCCACATCGCTTTGCGACACGCAAAGCTTTTTGTTGGTTTCAACACCATCGTGTCTAGCCACATTGCCTTGCGACATGCAAGCTTTGTGTTGTATACTCGGCACTCCCGTGCCTAGCCACACCTTGTGTCGCATTCGCACCATCGTGCCTAGCCACATCGCTTTGTGACACTCCAGTTTTGTGTTGCCTTCAGCACCATCCTGCCTAGCCATATCGCTCTGCGACACGCAAGCTGTGTTATATTCGGCACCATCGTGCCTAGCCACATCGCTCTGCGACACGCAAGCTGTGTTATCTTCGGCACCCTCGTGCCTAGCCACATTGCCTTGCGACATGCAAGCTTTGTGTTGCTTTCGGCACCCCCCATGCCTAGCCACATCGCTTTGTGATATGCTAGCTTTGTGTGGCATTCGGCACCTTCGTGCCCAGCCTCATCGCTTTGTGACATGCTAGCTTTGTGTGGCATTCGGCACCTTCGTGCCTAGCCACATCGCTCTGCGACACTCAAGCGGTGTTATCTTCTGCACCCTCGTGCCTACCCCCATTTCCTTCCGCAC